GGAACCCCCCAAAATTCACTCTTCATGCCTGAAAACCCCCACGTGCTACATTTTCGGGAAATCATACTTTCCACTGCTTTATGGGCAGGTTGGCCAACTCTCCGCAGCAGGTAGGGCCATGATGTCCTCTCAGCTGAAGGGCAAGACCTGCACGGGCCGCAGAACGTGAGAATGATTTTCAATAGTTGTGGACCACAATCACAACATCATCCATCTAATGCCAGAACATTTTAGTTTTATGGGCCACTAAATTTTTGCCAGTCGCTTCTTGTGATCCCGGAGTCCATTCAGGAGGGGAGAAGCAGAAATGCAAAGCTCGCGATGCAAGGCTTGGGATCTTGCTCTAAGCGCGCGGATTTGGAAAGGGCGCTGACATCAGGAGCGCCAGAGGCTGAGTGCTGATGACACATCCTGATGTTTAAAGAGTCTCCTGCACTAGCAGCACTGGTGGACATCACACCAAGGATTCCGGCGTGTGGGGCTCGGTCATGCGGCTCTAACATGTGTATATATATATATATCCTAGTATAATATAGTAGTTTCCATGTTCTTTTCCATTATCCCTATGTAAACCCCACTATACCCCCAGTGGGATTTTGGAAGAGCACGCTGATCTTGCCGAGGACAGAGGCGGAAGGCTCCAAGTTCAAGAAAAGGGCAGCCGCAACTCCAGCTGGCCCAGACGGTCAACTGAGCGGCTTGGACTTAAGCAACTGCTATGCTTTAAGGGTCTGATATATTGGGGTAATATGGTGATATTAGCATAATTTAGGGTAATATAGGGTGGTATGGGGTAATATAGGTGTTGTACAGGTTATCTTGCTTTTAGTGTGGCAACTCTCTGTCTTGTGGGGATGATATGGGGATTCCCGGCACTGTCTCATTGAGGGGGTTGTGGGCCTCCAACCAGATTTACGGCTCCACCTTTTACATGTTGTCTACTATTATTACTATTCTTAATTAGTAATATTATGATTCTTGTTATTACGAGTAGTACTACATGATGAAGGCAAGAAGCAGCGCGGCAAGCAGGCTCGGCTGAAGAAGAGGTGAAAAGGCTCATGAGCTGCATGGCGTTGCCAACTTGGAGGTGATAGTAATTTGAAGGTTAGGGTCAGTGATATTTGGTTGCTCATGTTACCTCGATCATATTTGTGGCAGTAGCCTGGTACAAGAAGAGACAGCAAGAGACAGCAAGTATGGATAACAATTTTGTCTTTGAATCTGGAGGGGGGAACAAAAGCGTTTGCTCCTGCACTGTTGCTTAGACGTTTTGCGATTCGTTTGGGCATGGCGGCGCTGGCTGTCTCGTACCTGCGTCCACTGTGGGAGGGCGTGCCATGCGTGTGTTGGCGGGGAATTCAGTTGCCCACCCAAATCTTGCACGCGTTTCTGGCGCAGCAGACTCAACTTTGACCATCAGAGGGATACGTCTGGTGGACCATGCTTTTGTTGCTTGTTTTGGGCAACTATTCCACAGAACGTCGAATGATCTTTCCAGAAGCGATTTATGATGCTCTCCATATCCAAGATCCTGAGCTTGAGTGCCAGCATAAGATAGAGATAGATAATATTTTGATAGCAGGTGGCCTTCCGTCAGAAGTTTTTGATGAGCGCTTCAAATGTTTGTAAAGATTTGGTTCATCGTGCTTGCTATTCTGGATGTTGAATTCAAGGGCAAAGTCGATCTTTTGCATAGTCAGTTCAGATATGTTCAGATCGTGTAAAGGAACATCTACGTGCCATAAGTCATACAGAGTTGGATTTCCTTCGCTTCGCCGCAGCTCCACCAACCTAATGACCTAGATGATGGCCGGCAGAGGCGACTTGATGTCTGCGAGGTGTCCACCACCATAGCCGCTTTTTCCAGAAAGCTTCAAGTCCTTCTCCTTGAGCTTTGCCGCTTCGGTGCAAGCGGATGGAAATCAAGGCGTGCGATTCCTTTCTTGCCCGCCCTACATAGTTTGCATGGTTGAAATAGGCACTGCCATGTAGAAGAGGAATGGGGCGATCATGATGCGAACACGAGCGTGGCATCGAACTGTTGCTTGTTGCGAGACGACGCTGCAGAGCATGTGGGCGGTGGCACCACAACTCATGACGTCATGAAGATGTGCCCATGGTTGGCTTGGATGAGGAATGCTGAGCACAACAGTCCGTTCTGCATATAGTGCTGTTTCACGTTTGCTCCGACACAATGAAAGTGTCCGTGTTTTGCCTGAGTTTTGCTTTTGGCTCTGAGTCGCCTTGCACCTCGGCTTAGCATCTTGGCGCTGATGGATCCCGTGACCGCCGCCGCCATTGCTTCGAGCTGCGCCGGCATTGGCGGCCCTGGGCAGTGGGAGCTGGAGCTGCGGAAGGTGCGGTAGCGGCAGGGTCTGCAGCAGGAGCTGCGGCAGGAGCTGCATCAGCAGGACTTCCGCTGCTGATCGGCTGCTTTGCTGCAGATGATTTGGTTGAACATGTGGCTCCATGCTGCCTGTGCGAATATCCACTTGTGCCTTAGGAGGACTGGTGGTTGTTGGAGGCTTGCTCATTAGCAAGGCCGCTCTTGATTACCTACGGCAAGCTAACCTCGACGCCATGCCAGTGCATGCCCCGGAAGGCCTGGTGGGTTGAGGGAAGGAGACTGTCAAATATCTTGATACTTCGTGATGTCACAGTGAAAGAGAGTGTCAAAGAGCTTTCTGAAGGAGAACCGGACTATCCCCGGCCAGACTGGTTGGAGTGGCGAGGACAGACAAACTGGGCGCTCGTCGGAGCCAGCGGCGCAGGCAAGTCCACACTCATCAACAACATCCGCGGTCTCAACAAGCCGGACCAGCCTGGTTATGCACCTACGGGCGTCACAGAGTGCACGAGGGAACCAACATCGTATAGGTTCACAGATATCATGCTGAAGGATATGCAGAAGAAGGATCCCACTTGCGCCAAGAAGCTGTTGTCAGTCCGCCTGTGGGACTTGCCAGGAGCTGGCACTGCGGCCAACCCGGAGGGGACGTATGTCCAAAGGATGGGCTTAAGATATTTTGATGGCGTGGTGCTGGTTCTATGTGATAGGATCAGGGAGATTGACCTCAACTTGCTCCATCAACTTCAAGAGTTTCAGGTGCCGTTCTTCATTGTGAGGACAAAGCTTGACCAAGACATTCGCAACAAGGCCTGCGAACTTGCAGGAGCAGATCCAGAGGATTGTGTCGAGGAGGACTTTGTCCAGGCTGAGGAAATTGTTGTCCGCGAGGTTGAAACTGACATGCAAAACCAGATTCCGGATAGTATGACTCATCGTATCTACCTCACGGGCAAGGTGGTCGCTCCGCCCAGCCGCAAATCATACTTTCAGCACCTGATCAAACAGTTCGATGCCCTCATGACCCATTTGATGCAAGACATGTGCACTTCTCGCCTTCGTGGAAGCATGCCGGCGTATTGGGTAAACCGTCGTCAGGCAGACGGCTTTACCCTTGAGCAGCAGCAGACATTCAGCTTGTCTGCGGATGAGCTGCTGAAATTTCAAAATCAGCTCCGCAATCACGAATGCGGTGCATGTCATGCAACGACAGGGGCGACAGTCCATGCAGCGTGGCGACTGGAAAGTCCGCTACTTTGGAATGGTTACGTCTCGGCAAAGGCTGAAATCCGCATGAAGTGGAGTGCTACTCGTATTGAGCCCATTGAGAGTCTTGAGCTTCAAGATCAAGATGTCAACGTGCCCCCTCTGCAGGGCACTGCCCCTCCTGTCTCCGTTGTTATGTTGTTATGTTGTTCTGTTTGCCAACTCCAGCAGACCGAGGAAGTGTTTGCATTCCATGGCACGCTGCCAGACACCGTCAAGAGTATCATGCAGCAAGGCTTTGATGAACGCCTTGTCAGATCGGATTCTGGCTTATATGGTGCTGGCCTGTACTTCACGCCTAGTGCTTGCAAAGCGCACCAGTACACAAGTTGGTGCCTCAGAGCTGTGCTTGGAGTGAAAGCCTTTCCATCTTCTGACGTTCTTTCCTACGAGCTCTGAGGCAAAGATCAGCGAGACAGGCCTGGAAGGGGAGATCCAGAAGTGAAACGTTACATTCTTCTCTGCCGTGTCGTGCTGGGGCGGCCACACCTCACCACTCGCGATGCAGCCCATGATGGGATTGATCGACGCCCTCCTTCAGTCCCAGGCCGTGACGACGTGAATTTCTGTGTTACATTCTGTGTGTAGCTAGCTGCTCTGTGCCAGGTGGTCATCCGTTGGATTCGGTCGTGGCGATGCAAGGGCAAGCGCGTGGTGGCAGGCAGCGGCACACAGAGATTGTTGTGTTTGACCGGAAGCCGGTATACCCCGAGTTCATCATCGAGTACAGTGTGTAGAGCACATTTGAAGAGCAGTGCCCTTCAATGAAGCTATGCAAGATCTGAACCTCCTCGTGAGGTTGTTTGTTCCCGACACCTCATGATGCGCAAACGGGGCCTGTGCCCTTTAATGAAACTATGCAAGATCTAAACCTCCTCGTGAGGTTGTTTGTTCCCGACACCACTGGAGCTAGACTGCTGATGCGCAAAAGGGACCTGCACGCTGTCATGTTCTCCTGCAGCAACACAGTTTCTTTGCCTGGAGTACAGTAAAGATTTAGTCAAGTTGAGATGCGGGCTGTGCGAGTGACCTGGGCCTGGAATGTCCACGCTGATTGAAGTGCTCATCGATTCTGTTTGCAGAGAGGGGGGGGCATCGCAGTGCTTTCTTGACTGCAAGGGATCTCAAGTTTGTAACAGATTCTTTCCAATCATGCTCGCATGCGGGTAACAGCAGAACTGGCGTCAATGTTCATCTTTCTGGGCTAAACTTCAAGGAGAGCAACCTTGTACCGCCAGCACTGGATTGATAACGTGCTTGAATTTTGAGTTCTTTGGACGTGGTGGAGATTTCTCCCGCTGCCCTGCTGCTTTAAAGCCGTTTGTACATCTAGCCTGCATTTTCCCAAGGATCCCTAAAGGGGATCCCCTTGTGGCAACTGGCCATGTCGATTTTCGCGGCGGTGCCCAAAGCCCCAGATGATCCCATCCTTGGCCTTGTTTCTGCCTTCAAGGCCGACAAGGACCCAAAGAAGGTGACGAAGCTTTCGTTGTATTGGGGTTATGAGGATTATATACGGATAGTGGAAAAAATGGAAACTACTATAATGGGATTGTTTTACCTTTGGTTAGCTAGGAATGAAGGAACGGATTCTTATGGTCTGGTAGTCCCTATAAAACCCATTATCGTCTTTGTTTTCTTTTCCATTCTATCATTCCCAGCTAACCAAGGTAAGTTCATGTGTTAGGGTTTCAGACCGCCTAAATACCAATACAGTCGGGTGTAAAACTATCTTCCTGTTCTAGACTTGTCTGGAGGTTTGGGTAGCGACAGGGAGTGGAATAACATTTTACATATTGTCATTGTTTGTAGCTGTTCTAATACAAACCCAAAAAATTGATTTTGACATCGCATCCCACAAGAACCCAGGTGAATCTGAGCGTTGGAGCCTATCGAACTGAGGCGGGCAGAGAGACAAATCTTAGGTGCGATTAGAGCGACTCTTCCCAGGAAACTTTTGTTAGCTGCTTTCTGTTCTCGTCTTATACCCTTAAGAGACCTTCATGTGGGCGGTCTATGTTTTCAGAGTTCCTCCTATCATCTCCTTACCCTACTCCTGTCAGAGATGGCCAACGATTGGAATGCCGTCGTCATTTTCCAAGCTTCTACAACCGTTTTTGCTGAATCTTTCAATATGTTATATGCATGTAGCATCCTTTGGCCACTGTGCTTTTAAATGCCAACTAATTTTGGTCATACATCGTGGCGAAGTAGGACTGGTAGTGATAGTGCTTGGGGGATCCTTGAGCCCTCCACCAAAAAGCAGAAGCTGAGAAAAAAATGCCGAAGAAGACCACAACTGTATTCTTCTGGCAACAAAATTACGTGAGCCGGTCAGACGGCTTGTTTGCGTTCTTCTGAGCCCGATTCCTGTGCTATTCAGAGTGCTGCTGCAGTGTCGCAGGGCAATTTGATTGTTTGCAACCCGCCCCCGCGCATATTCGCTTGGTAGCTAAACATGAAGGTCATCACGCCTCTGAAGCGCGCAAGCTAGCAGAGTGAACTGATAATTATAAGGAAGGGGCAACAAGTTCCGATGAGGGTCGAGTTTTCCGATTCAGTGGAAATTCAACCCTGGGCTTCGTGCTGTCAAAACGAATCCCTGAAAATATTACGACTAGTACTACTAGCTGCTACTGCTGTTGCTGCTGCTACTGCTATTGCTGTAACTGCTACTGCTGCTGCTACTGCTGCTGCTTGCTGCTGCTGTTGCTGCTGCTACTACCACCACTACTATTACTGCTGCTGCTACTGCTACTACGGCTTCTACTGGCTTATCATGGCTTCAAACTAATGATGGCAATGGCAAAGATAACAGCAAGTGCGAAAGCAATGAGACCAAGTATGACCAAGTACTGATGATGATACCACGACTCTTCGCAATTGTAGCTCCCGGATCAAGAGCCCTAAACCCTTAAACCCTAAACCGACCCTATAAACTGTCCCCCCTATGCCGCTAAGCCCATTGAGGAGGGCAAGCCTTGGATATTACCCTCGGTTGCTGCTGCGGAGCAACTGGTCCTTGAAACCGCATCTTGCCTTGGCCAATTCATGGTCTGTGTATAAAGATGTAGGTCTCAGCATGTATAGGGGTGAGTGACAGAGTACGGAGTTTGGATTTTGGGGCTGGGGATTTGAAATATTTGGGTTGGGGGCACCGGGTTGGGTTAATGTTATGGGTGGGAATTCAAGATTTTGGGTTGGGGTTTTGAATCAGTAAAGCCGAATTATGCGGGGTTGTAAAGAGTTCTATGGGAAGGCATCGTGTTTTTAGAGTCATGAGACAGTGGGGGGGGGGGTATGTAGCATTGCCGGATCTTGGGGCGGGCACTTTGAACTTGGAACTGCTTGGTGGGCTTCATTGTGGAGAGGATCTACAGTATTAACCCCATAATACACCTCTGCATCTATCCCAATGTAAACCATTATAACCCATCTTCCCACCGCATAAACCCTAAACCCTAAGCCCTAAACCCTAAGCCCTAAAACCTAAGCCCTAACCTCAAACCCTAAACCCTAAGCCCTAAGCCCCAAACCCAAGGGGCTCTCAAACCTTGAAGCTTTCACTTTGTGCTTGTCGGCGGACAAAGGCACAGGACAAAGAGTATGAGCCCATCGACGGGAAGCCGGAATTCAAACGCCCGGTGCAACAGCTGATCTTCAGTGACGAAGCCTGCCTTTCACACTGGCAACATCTTGTCATTCTTGGCTTTTTTTCGTTTGGGGTCTGCAAAAGCCCTCCGCCCTAAACCCCTGAATCCTAAACCGTTTTTCTTGCGGCACAGTTAGGAAGTCATTGAGAGCGGTTGTGTGGCCACGGTGCAAGCTCTGTCCGGCACAGGCTCATTGCAGATGATCGCCCAGTTCATGAAGTTCATGGGTGTAAGTAAAGTTCCTGGCGTCGCGTTTGAATCATTTTCTAGTGCTATGGAGCTCAGAAAACAAATAACTCTGTATAACTTAAAACTTTTCCCTTTGCAGTCATAGTTCCGTAATCAGGAAGTAACCCGACACTGATACACCTACGATGGTCCTCTGTTGTAGCCACTACTGAGTGGGGGATTGACCCACCCGGAAGAGTTCAAAGTCTTGTGGAACCCCGAAAAACCCTACACCTTGCACTACGCTGACCCTAGGTTTGGGGTCCGGATCCTACCTGGGGCAACCACCCAAAAATCTTCGGCCGTGCGGGGCTCGAATCTTGGCTGGCTCCTGTTTTTGCGGGTTTGGGGTTTAGGGCTTAGAGATTGGGATGGTAGAGGGGAAAACTACAGTGAGCCCAACTCTAAACCCTCAACCCTGGGATAGTGGTTTGGCTTTGGGTATAGTGGGCTTGCCAGGGTTTATGGTTGATTGCAGGCCTGCTTTTCAGTTGCTTTCAGTCAGACTTTGCCGGATTCGAAGCTTGCCATGCCATCAGTGCCATGAAAGTGGCAAAAAGCGATTTTAAGGCTTCAGGTTTCAATGGATTGTGGGAGACTGGGTTTCCTAATATCTATCAAAGTGGGCCAAAAGCTTAACCTTTAGGAGGGATCCTAAAGCCAACTAAGGAATATGCAAAATACCCATACTGGCATCAAGAAAGCCGCTCCTTGAATTTCGAGGGCATGATGGCCAGCATCAAGAGCATGAAGCTGGATCGATTTGTTGGCCAAAAATTTAACTTCTTGCTTCTGTACTGTTTCGTAAAACTGAGATGTGACTCTTTGGAGTTCCAAGAACAGATGAGGAAGGAGGGCGACGCCATTTTGCTACATTCCGTGGCCCACAACCCGACAGGCGTAGACCCAACCCCGGACCAGTGGAAAGAAATCGTCCTGGCTGTCCAAGAGAGGCTTGGTGTTTCCAGAAGTGGCTTTAATGTTTCTTTCATCTGAGCTATAGTCTAAAATCCGTAAGGGGGGTTATATAGGTATTGTATAGGGGAGTACTATACAGGTTATGAAGGTGAATACCGGGAGTTTAGACTGTGGCTCATTTGTTTTGCTTATGCTTTGCACAGGCCTCATCCTTGTCTAGCCCTTGGTGGTTGAAAGCTGTCTTGTCTTAGAGCCTGCACAATGGCCAAGGAGAAAGCTTGTACCGCTGCTCGATAATGCATACCAAGGCGGGTATGCGTCAAGACTGTGAGTCCATTTAGGGTTTCCGACCTGATGGATTGTCCCTTGCTGTCGTCTTGTTCTATTTGGTTCAACTACATGAGAGAACTCATTCATAGATACACATCACCCCCTCTAGTCTCCATGACGTCCTTAGGCATTCCTCATAAAGCCGTGTAAATGGCGACCCCTTTTTGTCCCTTGGGAAGTTACCATAATCCTTTGCATAACGTGTACGATATCCCGATAACATTCCTGTAGTTGGACCCTGCATACTCAAAGACTCCTCAGTACTACTTTGGGGGATACTGCCCAAACCCAAATAACAGTTCCTATGATAGTCCCAGTTAATGCTATAATGCTTGGATCGGGCTGGATAGATACTCCTACTCAAAGCCCGAGCCAGACGCCGGAACCCTTTCTTCAAAAGCAGGCCTGCCTTTGCACTTTGTACCGTAAACCCGAAGCGCTAAGACTTTAGGCCCTGAAACCTGAATCCTAAACCCTAAGTAGTGCGCGTGAGCTGTGTGATGTGTGAGTTGTGTACTTGCATACAACTCTGGCACGCTAGTACACTAAGGACATGCAGGATTTCCAGCCCTGAGCCCCAAATCATAGAGGATATCTCCTTATACATATTTTTGCCCTCCTAGGTTTTCTGAACCCTGAATCCTAAATCCTACTGAAAGTCCTCTGCGTTCACAAAAACCTAGAGCCAGGGAAGCTTGAGACTGATCCTTTTGCATGTCCTGCCCCCGAAGGTTCCCCCTAATTAAGGGTGTGTTAGGGATAACTAGGGCTTAGGGTTTATGGCGTTGAGAGTTCAGGGCCGGTTAATTAGGTTGAGAACCCAGACAGGTTGAACAGATCGAGCAGGGGAACCCTAAACCCCAAGTAATTCAGGGGGGAGTAATAGGGGAGCCCATGAAGTCTGGCCCAGGCTATGCTAGTGGAGACTTGGCACAGGATGGCCTAGCCCAGAAGCTGTTCACCGAGTCCGGCATGGAGTTCCTTACATTAAGGTTCACGTCACAGTGGAGTTGAAACAGCTTTTGGAATAAGAGCAGAAAGACGCGTAGTATCAATGAGAGTGATGCTAGAAATGCGAGATATTCATGGCGCATGTAGGATCGTCTGATTGGTTTCACTGTGCATTGAAACATGAGTAAGGTTCTTCATCGCCCAGTCATTTGCCAAGAACTTCGGACTTTACGGGGAGCGCATTGGCTACATTCACGTCCGTTGTGCCACGAAGGAAGCCGCTAGCGCTGTGCTCTCGCAGATGAAAATCGTCGTCCGACAGGCATATTCGAGTCCGCCCAAGCATGGGGCAGCGATTGTGAACAAGATCCTAGGCTTTTCAGTAAACGATCCCCCAAAACTGCCTGCTTCTCCCCAAAGACCCGAAACCGTATATACCCTAAACCAGGATCCTGACCACACCGGAGCTGAAAGCAATGTGGCTGAAAGAGCTCGGTTCGATGTCGGAGCGCATCGTAAAGATGCGTGCAGCGTTGCGACCCTTGGCCTGTCTTCACTTCACAGCGATGTGAAGGATGGGCTAGAGGGGTCATGATAGATGATGAACGGCACTGTTCTGAATTAGTATGGGGTTCTGTTGGAAATCTAGACTCTAGACTGCTGCTTCCCTTTATTTCCTAATGAAGACGTGCAAGGACAAGCGTTGGAGGCTTTGCAGACCCCGGGTACATGGAACCACGTCACCGACCAGATTGGCATGTTCACTTTCACAGGCCTCACAAAAGACCAAGTCTCACGAATGGTGAAGGACTTCCACATCTACATGACTCTTGGCTACCTTCCGGGACCCCAGAGATATGCGGGTATTTCGCAAAAAACAAGTGCTCATAGAATATTCTTAAGGGGGTCCTACGATGGCCTTCATAATCCCTCTAACTCACCCTTGGGGGTTCCTAGTGGCATCCTCATTTTCGAGAAACTCCGAATTGGGGATTCTACACAGGCTGTACGAAATGTTGTTAAGGGATTCCCTTTACCACTGCTCTGAGAGCTTCACATTTTTGGCGGGTCTCCTACTATCCATATTAAGGATTTTTTCCCCTTGAAGCGGGGCGCCAAAGCCAGCAAAGGACTGAAGACGGCCGCATATCGATGGCTGGCCTAAACATGTCGAACGTGCAGTATGTTGCGGACTGTATTGACACTCCGTCTGGTTTCATGAGACTCTATGTTTTGATCGTCGTTAGAACTCAGTATGCAGGGAGCGCCATGATTGGTGATTAGGGTTTAGGAGCAGTCGTAGATGACAGCAGACGTATTGCTAGCAGCTAGCACTAAGTCTGTCAATGACGTGCAACAAGAAACATGATAGGGATGGGAATCAAAAACCAAAGATAGTCGTGATAAGGAGAACAGTAGCAGCAACAGAAACAGTAATCTTGAACGACAACGCCAGGACAGGGTCGTGCGCGATGCAAGGGCCTCCCTCTGCAAGGAGGAGTTCGCGCAGGTGATGGAAGCCTTTCGCAGTTTGGTCAGTGTTAGGCATCCGTTTGTTGGGTTCCTGTAGGAGAGTTTGGGGGCACATATGAAGGTACAGAATTTTTAGGGATGATGCAGATTTTTTACAGAAGGGTTTCCTGGTTGTTTTTGCTTGTGGTGGGTTAGGGAGTCTAAGGGTTGCTGCTCCATGACAGCTCAAAGGATACTTAGGCTGACCTTCCCATAGTCCTTATTTTCTTCGCAGATGTTTCCAATACAATCTAGACATGTCGGATCCTTATCGACACAAGTGTTATAAACCCTGCAACCCTAAACCCAAACGCTTAAAACCTAAAGCCTTAAAGCCCAAACCCCTGAACCTTAACCCTAAACTCGAGAAGGCAAGCAGATGAAGGGAAGCTACATTTGTTCTGCGGAGCTCACCACGCTGCTGGAGGCGGCTTCCGGCTTGTCAGATCAAGAGGTGGGGGTTGCCCAAACTTAGGGTTTGAGGTTTAGGGTTTAGGTTTTAGGAATACAATTAGGGTTTTAAATTATTGGGTCCCTGGAAAGGTTATAGGGGGATACATAAGAGTACATGAGGGTCATATATCGCTTCTGTCGGGGTATACAGGGGTTAGGGTTTCGGGCTTCCCAAAATTAATGTAATTAGGAGTACCTTGTCAGGGATGCCTACCATAAGCATTCTTGCGTTTTGGGGTCTAAAATGGGGTCCCCTATGTTGGGAGACTACCAGGTTTGTTGTTGAGATTTTGAGTTTGGAGTTTGGGGCTTTAGGGTTCGGGTCATGGTTTGGGTTAAGAGTTTGGGGTGCAGGCTTTAGAGACTGTAGAGTCTAAAGGCTTAGGGTTTGGTTTCTGTGTTTGGAGCTTACGGTTTAGGGATTAGGCTTAAGGGGTTAGGCTTGTGGTCAAGGATTTAGGGTGCTGGTGACTCGTGCTGGGAAAATACGGTAGGATTCTTCGAAAGGGAGTGATCTTTTGCGAGAATAAAAAAAATTGTGGGTGTTGCATATGGACGAGGTGTATTTTCAATGCTGGAAAATCAATCTCCATTGAAGTCAACGTTGCATTATCTTTTTGAGTTATATACAAGACACGAAGAAGACAGCCTTGTTTCAGGTGCAGCTGCTACTTCGGGAAGCAGGATTTTCTGCTGCGGACATCATCGACTACGAAGCTTTCCTGCAATGGACGTTCGAGAGTTGATGCGGTCGAGCAGCTTGCATGAATTCATTAAGATGGCTGGAAGATAATTAGCAGTTTCCCTAAATAGGGGGTCCCCAATACCGACCCCCAAGTACTACAGTCGTTAAGATAGGGGCCCTCTAATTTTTTGGAAACCACCAATTGATCAATCTTCCACAAATCCCTCAAAGGGGGATGCAACATTCCATGATGACGGCTCATCCTTGCAGGTCTCAAATCGTTTTGGATTTTCCCCGCAAAACGGAAAACTCGTCCTTAAACTAAACGTCTATGAGATTCACTGTCTTATAAGAGAGGCAGTCAAATAAGTCATTGATTATGTCTTGGCCAGCTTGCCGAATGCTTAAGTTAACTTTTGGGCACAGGGCTCATTTTCCGGTCAACAATTGTTTTAGATTTTGTATGAGGGTTTACAAGGGTGTGTTCGGGAGAGAAATAGGCTATCTTATGCATTCCGAGGGCTGGCCGTTAGCATGGAAAGGGTTCAAGAAGCGTTGTTGTGAACATGCGGAAATGGCAGACCAACTGGTGAGAAGTCTTGTTTTGAACACGCTTGGCCGACAGATTCTGATGGCGAGACGAGTTTCAAAAGCCAGAATGCGAGGATTTTGAACATGAACGAATTACGTGACAGGCTGTAGCATGGCAAGAGGTGGGATCGTTTCAAGTGTAAAGATTGATTTCCGAGCTCTTCCAAATCCGAACGTCTGAATCCATGCCAAGGCAGGGGCGAGGCTGTTGGTCCAGTCTGGGTATCGCGAGGTAATCGTATAGCAGCAGCAGTAGCAGTGGTAGTGGTAGTAGCAGTAGTACCAATAGCACCAGCACCTGCAGCAGCAAAGGCAGCAGCAGCAGCAGCAGCAGCAGCAGCAGCAGAAGCAGTTTGTCAAAAAATTGGACGTCCGAGCTCTTCCGAGCTCTTCGAAGCTCTTCCGAAGTCTTCCGAGCTCTTCCGAACTCTTCCGAATTCTTTCGAACTTTTCCGGGCACTTCCGAACTCTCCGGAACTCTGAACTTTCCGAATTCTCCCGAGCTCTTCGCAGCTCTCCCAAACTCTTCCAAACTCTCCCGAACTCTTCCGAACTTTTCCGAACTCT